TTCTTCAAGAAAGGTGACAACACCCTCTTAAAGAACTACAAACCGATATCCCTTCTGAGCCGCGTCTACGTGCTGTTTTCGAGAGTCATTTCGAATCGTCTCGCACGCAGACTCGACAATTTCCAGCCTCTCGAACCGAAGCCGGTTTCCGGAAAAGCTTTAGTACCATAGACCACATTCATACCCTTCGGCAAATTGTACAGAATTCCGAAGAGTTGTACTCTTTGCCTGGCGTATGTGGACTATAAGAAAGCCTTTGATTCCGTCGAAATTTGGGCGGTGCTACAGTCTCTTCAGCGGTGCCAAGTTGACTGTCGGTATATCGAAGTGCTGAATTGTGTTTACAGTAGGGCTACGATGGCTATTATCAGAGTACAGAACCATAGTACGAAATCTATCCAATTGCAGAGCCACATTGGAAGACGTTTTCAAGCTACTGTACTGGAAAGGATACGGTATTAACATCAATGGCGAGTACATCACTCACCTTCGATTTGCCGACGATATAGTCCTTATGGCAGAATCGCTGGAGAACTTAAGCACTATTCTCAATGACCTCAATAGTGCCTCCCAACGGATAGGTCTTAACATGAAGATCATGTTTAATGTCCATGTCACACCTATGCCGGTCGTTGTTGGGAGCACTAAGCTCGAAGTTGTTGACGAGTATGTTTACCCGGGACAAATAGTCCGACTAGGTAAGTTCAACGTGGAACGAGAGGTCAATCGACGGATTAACCTCGGCTAAACAGCGTGCGGAAGATTACGACACATCTTCTCGTCACGTATACCTCAATACCTGAAAACTAAGTTGTACAACCAGTGCGTGTTGCCAGTGATGACCTACGGAACCGACACGTGGTCCTTCACTCCTGTTCGTATGAGAACACTCAAAGTCGCTCAGGGAGCTATGGAGAGGGCTATGCTCGGAGTTCCTCTGCGTGATAAATTTAGAAATGAGGATATCCGCAGTAGAACCAGAGTAACCGACATAGCCCAACGGATCAGTAAGCTGAAGTGGCAATGAACCGACCATATAACTCGAAGAACCGACAACTGTTGGGAAAAAAAGGTTCTCGAGTGGCAGCCTCGTACTGATAGGCAAAGTGTATGGCGTCCCACAACTAGATGGAGTGACGACCTGGTAAGACATGCAGGAAGTCGATGGATGCAGGTGGCTCAGGACCGTGCTTTGTGACATATCTTGGGGGAGGCCTATGTTCAGCAGTGGACTTGTGAAGAGCTGTAATGATGATGATGATGTTAAGTACTAAGAAGCTTACGGGATGAAGCGGATCTTAAACATTTAAAACTGGTTTACTAGGCATTGGTGGCAAGACTTTGTATTTTATTATGGGGAGTGAGCTAAAATATAAAGTACACAAAGCCTTTGTTCTGAAAAAAAAAGAGCAATCAGAACCATGTTGCATACATTTTAAAAGACTTGGAATCTTGCCTGTTCCATGCCTGTATATACTGGTCTTGCTTACACAATTTGCAAGAGTTATTGGCGAATATGAGACTATGGACCAAAAAACTATAAGGGAAAACACTAGGAGAAAAGACTTTCATAATAAGATCACCCCTTGTATGGTCATGACTAGATACTGTTCTCAATATCGATCAGTACTTCTATTTAATAGATTACCTATTTATTTAAAAAATACTGTAGAAGTTTGATAATCCAGCACGTTCGGGACTGGCTCTGTCCCAGACTACCGAAAATTCTGGTCTATCGGGGCGGTAATTATAAAACAGTTAGGTTCATAATTAAACTACAAAAAACAGTATGCAAATATGTTTGTATGTACATACAACAAAGTTTATTTTACATTTCATATACATAATGTATGTACACATACTGTAAAACATATTTCACTTAGATTTAAAAAAAAGTCACGAATGTCTTTTTGTTTTCTTGACTTTTGGCGTTTAGTATAAAAATGGCGAAGACGCTTCGTGATTGATTAACGGAGCTAACTAGCCGGCCGCTAACTACGTAATTGTTTCCGAACAATACCGAGCGCTTCCGGATGATCCCGAACTACCCTGAAAACTTCCGAATAGCTCTCGAGCGTTTTTATTTGCTTTAAAGACACACTTTTGGTGAAAACCGAAAACCAAAGAGCGATGCCGGACTATTGGCCATTCTGGACTATTGGATGCCGGACTAATAGACTTCTACTGTATGTTAAAAAAAAAATAGCTTCAAAAATACTTTTAAAAAGTTAAGTGTAATAAAATAAAGTGATGTAAGTGCAATAAAGAATAATAAATGAATTGTGTATGTCATTTGCATCATTTTATTTATTATCTCTATTTATATAATATCCTGAAAATATAGTAAACTATTTTTTAAAGTGAGGTGATCTTGTTCTTCACGAAAGGCGACAAAGCTCTCTTGAAGAACTGCAGACTGATTTCCCTTTTGACCCGCGTCTATGTGCTGTTTTCAAGAGTCATTACGAATCGTCTTGCACGCAGAGTTGACGCGGACAGACGATTTCCAGGCTCCCGATGAAGGTGGTTTCTGAAAAGGCTTTAGTACCATAGACCACAACACAGACATACCCTGCGGCAGATTGTACAGAAGACTGAAGAGTACAATCTGCCACTTTGCCTGACGTAGGTGGACTATGAAAAAGCCTTTGATTCCGTTGAAATTTGGGCCTTGCTACAGTCCCTTCATAGGTGCCAAGTTGACTGTCGGTATATCGATGTGCTGACATGTTTGTACAGTAGGGCTACAATGACTACCTCAGTACAGAATCAGAGTATGAAACCTATCAACTGCAGAGAGGTGTAAGACAGGGTGACGTCATATCCCCGAAATTCTTCACCGCTGCATTGGAAGATGTTTTCAGGCTACTACAGTGGAAAGAATACCTAACCTGAACTTGAAGGGCTGTAATTGTGGCGGTGCTGTCGTCGCGCCGCAAGCGAAACATACCGAAGCTTAAATCACGCTATCAACATTCCGAATCATAAACAGCATATATAGAACATCTCCGAACTATCACACGGAGTGTGAGCCGCTCCCCAGGCAGAACACCTTGCCCGGCGGGAGTTCCCTTTTCCTACTTCGGCCACAGTGATGACCATCCGACGTGATCTGAACACGCAACCAAACACCTTCGGAAACTACAACTTCAAGCTTTCGTCATTATCCTCAAGAACTCCTACCATTCACTATTGAGAATCGTCTTCTGCAGTCTTCAGTTCCTGCAAGCCAGTCCAACTTGTCTTCATCTCGACTCACCGCAGATTTATAAGGCAGACTTCTGGCACATCGTTCTCACCGGCATCACTTGCCAGTGCGTAGTACAGCATGCATTACACATCGGCATATCATTCGCACCGGTGTCACTTGCCCTTACGCACAAAGCATGCATTCCCCACCGGCATTAATAGGACACACTGGCAATCGGACTGCACTATCGACCTCCGGTCTGAGCAGGGGGTGATGTGGCGGCGCCGTCGTCGCGCCGCAAGCGAAACATACCGAAGCTTAAATCACGCTATCAACATTCCGAATCATAAACGGCATATATAGAACATCTCCGAACTATCACACGGAGTGTGAGCCGCTCCCCAGGCAGAACACCTTGCCCGGCGGGAGATCTCCCCTTTTCCACTGCTACATAATGATGATAATGATGAAGTAGTACAATACACCATTTTTGACAAAAGCCAAAATGAAAATCCCATAGACCTAACCTCAAAATGATAACATTTATCATCTCCGGCAGGAATGGAGGTGGAGGGGGAAGCGGGGTTGTCTCCTATCACAACTGTAAGGATTTCGGAGCGCTGAAGTATTTCTGGTTTCTGTATAGCACAATAAAAGCTGCTGTAATACACTGGAGAGGACACATTCACGTAAGGAAAGCAACTAATTGGCAAAATGTACAAAAATTTGTATGTCATGCGATTTGACACTTAACAGAGTGTAGAACACAGAAAAATAAAAATACCATAGATGTATAATAATGTAACACTAGAGTTTGGCATGGTCTTACTTCTATATTGCACTTACACAAATTTCTGTAAGCTATCCAGCTTTCACATATGTTTTTTCATAGTTTACACATTTTGCATTATAACCGTTTCTTATTTTCTCTAAAACAGTGCATTGTCTTTTAATGTGAGTGGTATTGTTATAATCGGTGACCAAACCTCTACCAAATGAAACACCTTACTCCCCCAAATACCCACAAAAGATTCTAAATCCAACCCATTCGCCAATTCTCTATATTCTCCATATAAAACACAGCAGCATTAAGCTGATATTTTACACTAGTATTATGTAAAAATATGGTCCTTCCCCAGTCAAGCGGACTCATTCATACTAAACCATAGCATAGCTGCAGCATGACTCTACCACATATTATAATTGCTGCCAGAAACATGCTGCTATATCCTGTCTAAATTAAACCTCTAAACTCTAAATTAAACCATCTGTCCCCTCTTATGACATCCATAGGATATGGGGGCATGTATTATTTCGTTATGCCACCACCACTTAACAATATGTCAAAAATATTTCACAGTTGCATTTAACAGCATCCCTTACACACTTTCACATAAAAAATAGAGTTATTGATATGTAACCATCCAAATGCCTGGGTTGTCAATTGCTTATAACTAAGTGTAATTATTATAAATTTCTAATATGACAAACTCCCAAAACTCTTAATAAGCATTACCAAACTAGCTGGGATTTCCTACAATAACTTTACACTGCTGTAAGTTCTGACAACTTTCATTTACCATTTAGACAAATTTATTCTACTAAATGTATCAGGGGTTTTAGAGGGATGCTTCTCTTGAAACTAACCTCACTTACATATCATACACAGTGCACACCAACCACGACACAACGACCACTTACAAATGGCTCTATATTCACTCCAAATCCTACTATATGTTCCTAGAGAAGCGATAATAATGATATAATAATGGGACTACTTAAATACAAAGATCCACTTATAGAAACTTACCTCTTAAAGTTCTGTTATATGCGATACGATCGCTCAGATAAACGTTTATAGCCAGCGCTTTTTCAGATTCTTCCCCAAGGCGTTTTGCTTCCCCGACTAAATGTGCTGCTACGCCACCTTCGCCAAGCCCTGGAATTATTCGTGCTTCATCCTCCAAAATTTGTTTTTCAAATTCATCTTGAACCATCTCTAATTCCTGAGCGCGTGTTGAACGTTTACCACCGCGCCATTGTTCAAATAAAGTGAGAATTGTGAGAATTAACACTAAAACTATACCCAATTTAATCACATGGTAGCATTTACGTAGCGGTAAATGCATTTTATTTAACTAAATATAAATACATGCAGAATTAGAAACAACACAGCCGGAGCGGGGAACGATCGACTTTGACTTTGACATTTTATTGTTTACAGTTTTACTTTTTAAACAGGAAAGTTAAACGTAAACACCCCATTCAGCCTTATCTCATTCAGATTTGTCATTATATCGCCAATTGGTATGTTTACAAACATGTTAAAAACATTTGTAGATGTATGAAATTTTCATAAAGACTTAATATTGCGTTGCTATTTCGCTAAAGCAAGACATTTTTATCGAGAGTTCTTAAGTTAGGTGCCATCTTTCGAAATTCATAGGCTCAACCAGTGCTTCATAATGGCAGAATCCCACCTATCAGCACGTGTATTCGGGATGCTGTCGGTAGAGGTACGTATTAGACTCAGTAATGAAGCAGACCTTTTATGTATAATGGGATGAAAGCCATACTTGTGCGCCTCAGCGAACATAGCAGATGCCTTCGATTAACAATACCAACTAGATAACGGGTCACGTACAAAATCATAGCTAAATACTGTCCGCATGAATATAAACTATGAAAAGTCATAAATTAAGTAACATTTAGTGTGAAATCAACCAAATTATAACAAATATAGTTCTTTTTCCCGTTATTGCCTTGCGAGCTACACTCTCACGTGCAAGAGCTCACGTCTCATGTGCGCTCTTATTTACTAAGATGGATTTCTTGCGCCTACCCGACATCTAGTTGGTATTGTTGATCGAAGACAGATGCACTACAATAACGCGGCAATCCTAACAGCACCATGAACACATTATTGTATAGGACACCCAAGACATTTTATGTCCACTGCGTGTGTCTACCCACAAGTTGCACGTGTAAAAGCACTGACAATATGCGTTAAAAAGCGTTACTTTAACTTCTTTAGTACATCGTGCAAACCTGCGAGCCAGCATAATACAACGAACAGCCAACGCCCTGCGTTCTTTTTCTATATTTAAGTCATCCTCTAAGTCCTCTGTTACCCAATGGCCTAGGTACTCTGTTCAAAGGACTATCACAGAGCTTAACAGTAGGCATAGTGAGCTGCCTTTTAGTGCCTGAATTAAGAACCATAAGCATGCTCTTATATTGTACTTGAGCCCATGGGTCGCTGTATAGGATTAACAGATCCCTAGCAGCCTTCGGAGTGCACCTATCGTTATTAGACGACATTTATCCTAATCCTCCTAATTATCATCAAACGGCATTTTTAACATCCTTTTTCATTCATTTCTGTAGAGGACAAATAACTATTATACTCTTTGCTTCAGATTTGGATTATCAAATGTACAAACACATATTTATTCCATTAGGTATCTTCATTTATTTTATACATATTAAGGTTTCTCATGCCTCGTTGGTCTAGTGGTTGTAGTAGTGCGACTGCTAATCAAGAGGTCCTGGGTTCGAATCCCGGGTCGGGCCAAAAAATCAATTATTGAGTTTTTCTGTCAAGAAGTTCTCAGTAGCTGCCCGGAGTCAGGAAGTTGGCGGTGTCTCTCCCCCGTGCCTCGGAAAGCACGTTGATCCTGAAGAAAACCGTTGGTCCTGCGCCTGATCTCTCTTCCGGTCGTGTCGGTTTACCGTCCCATCGGATTACTAGAGTGAGGGAATAGTGAGTGCACCTGTGCGCCGATGGCTAGCCTCCGTTGAGGCAGGCCGCTGTGGCCGAAATTCGGTCTAGAGGACATTAAGGTTTCTCATTGTTTGTCTAATCTCTACTAGGGCCAACCTTGCATGTTTGCTCGCCGTTTCTTGTTAATTTTGTTGCGCAATTTTTTTTTCTTCTGCCCACAAAGTACAGTAACAGTAACATTAGCTCTATTATTATGATGTTTAATCATTACTACCCATTGACTATCCTGGAAAAGATTACCTGGCCGGTACTCACTGCCCAGAACATCGACCGCCACGAGCTGAGCAGTCAGAGGCGGGGTCCGCACTCCTCCACTCGGACAGCGGTTAGGTAGCTCAAAAACAACCACCGAGGCGACATGATGATTGTTAACAATACTAAATCATAAACCATCATCATCACCATCCACATCTTCATTACCTTTCCCTTTTTAATTAGCTGAGTCAGATGAAGCTGTAAGAGCCGCATAGGCTAACAGAACTTACATCTCGAAAGTAGCCTAAAAAGGAAAACCCATGATCTTACCGGTGATATGACTCACCTTGAGTGTTTTAGTTTAAGTTTGTTTGGGTATCGTAATATGAACTCGTTTCGTCCATTGTAATAAAAGAACGTCGAGCCAAAAACAATCTCACATCGAACAACGAATTAGCCGTCAGAGCCGGGACCCGCCACCCCCCCTGTTCGGACGGACATTAGATAACTCACGCACGTGCACTGTACACTGTCTTAGGAGTCAACGTCACGCAAGTAACGATGCGGAATGTTTGAATTTACTTTTTTATAACCCGCGGTCTTTCAGGTCACGAGCCCCGAGTCCTATGAAGCTGTCGGAGCCGCATAGGCTAGCAGCACCAACATCATCGAAACCAGATCAACAATCTCAATCTTGTTGCAACAAATTTAAAAAGCTTCAAAAAATATATAGTCTGGTTCGTCAGTATAAATGTTCACCAATAAACGAACCGTGATATAATAATAATCTTAATCAAGTTTTCGACTTTTTTTATAGAATAAGAGTGAGAAACGAGCATACACTCCACCTGATGGTAAGTGGATGCTGTGGCTCATACAAACCTACATGCATTCTCGATTAAGAATCAAAACGCAGATCCGTTGTCACCCCAGATGATTAAGATAGAATGCCTCGTTTCCAGCAGTCTTCGGTTCTCTACACTAACCATATGAATGAAACAGCAGAATTATCCTGGTATTGTATGTGTGGTCACAAACTAATAAGATGTGGATTTTGTGTAACAAATGCAGTATGGCTCTACCACATATATTTTATTTCAATGGGTCATTGTTCTCGTAGGGTGTTCCCAGCGAGCGTCAACTTTTTCGATGTTCCTCGACGTTTGAATTCGGCGCTGCAACTTGCAATTTTTCTGCACATGCAAAGAGCAAACACTATTTCAGTTTTCTGGACTGAATTCGAAATATTAATCATAGCGGTAAGAGAAATGCCCTTCTACTAGATGGAGTGCAAGGGACGTCGATTAATGCGGGAGCAGGTTGTTCAGGACCGTGCTTAGTGGCATTCCTTGAGGGAGGCCTATATTCAGCAGTAGACTTGTGATGGGTTATAGCGATAATTATGATTGTGGTAATAACTCTAGATACTGTATGATATGGAAAAGCAAGTTATGATTTTTGAACCGGTGAGCAACAGCGGTGCCTTCACATGTCTGCATGGTTACGTGATGCGACAGCATCGTACCTAATATCATCTAAACTACGCTTAACTCTGCTGTTTCGTAAGTGATGAGAACCAGGAATTATTTTTACTGGGTTTCAGGGATGACAGTGGATCTGAATTTTGATTTTTGATCGAGAATAGACGTGTCTTTGAGCACAAGCATTTACTTACCATCAGGTGGATTGTGTGCTTCTTGGTCAACTTTGCTCATTAAAAAAATCTAACGATAATGCGGTTAGTTTTGACGTAAGCTAGTTTAGTGACATTAATATGGAGTAAAATCAAAACACATTCACACTAGTAAACCAGCAATTTGGAATATAGGATAAATGTTGGTTTCAACTTAGGTTCGGATTTCAGCATCAATGATACATCACCTACTTTGGTCACTTAGCAGCAGGAAGAAATAAATTAAAGATTATTTCACTCAGCGCAATATAATTTTACAATTTATACATTTTTCATAAATTTCAACTTCTAATGGAATGTTAAAAAAAACATTCATAAATTATCAATATATTTCCTGGTATAGGAACTAATTTATTTATATTCTACTTTACATTATGTTATAAAATGTACCTATTAATTTAATTTTAGAAAAAAATTCGATTTAAATAAATATATAAATTTTTATACCATTTCACCTTTCAATATTTCACCTACGCAATATAACAAAAAATAAGTCAAAAGTGCGAGACGTCTAGTACTATATATATAATAGCCAATGCCGCTAAATGTGTATACGGCAAATCGTCCTGCAATGCAGAGAAAATTAAGACAAAATGTTTTATCACGTTGCGAAAATTAGATGGTCAAATAGTAATGAAACAAATATAGCGTGTATATATGTTATGCTGTTGTCTCAGCAGTTTAGTGACAATGATTATTATTTACTTCAAAGTTAATAAACGGTACCTATTATTCATAACTTTGCCAAGTATTAAGTACATAAGCGACAATTTTCATCTTTGTTTAGAATGTAATCAAATTTTCACATTGTTCATATTGAATTTTATTATAAGCAATACCTATTCAGAAATAGTTTTTGTTACGAATGAAAAGACGTGGACCTATTATACTTTGAGCTAAATATGTTTTTGCATTTGGATGTTTATTAATTATTGTAGTGGGTGATTACAATTGCCATTGATTGACTGTCCAAGGAAAACAAGTTTTATTTAACAACTTACTAATAATTATTAATTACTTAACTACATTGTATCAATTAGGCCGATGATGTAATTTATATGTTTATCAGACCTTCAGGGGAGGCTTCATAGCATTGAGAACGAGTTTTGTAATAACTAACTCCCATTGATACAACAACACTTTTTACACAAAATGTTACTTTTTTATTAAATTTTCATAATTAGCTGCAATAAGATTGGATATAAAAATTGATTCTATATCATAAAAATATAATCTTAACACTATCACTGACTGATTTCCAGACACAATAGTAAGACAATAGCAATGACCCGTATGTGGGTCACGGGATAGTGAACACATATATATAACAATAAAAATACGTATATATCATTTCTGAAACATTCAAACATTCCCTATATTTGAGAACATGATTGTTTTTTGTACATTAACTGTTTACATTTTTAATTTATATTCAATCACATTTTAATAATTTTTGATAATGTGATTAGGGCAAAAACAACTGCTTCTCCAATATTTCCTTTTCCACTGACATTGATTTGCTAGGACTTCACAAATACCCATAATTCAACGATTGTTATAATGTAAACAATAACGAAATAAGCGCTCATTTCATTTAGTCTGATGGTCGTCGATTGTCAAAATACCGAAAAACTTGTTCTCAAACTGTATAAATATCACGCCAGATCTTTAAATTATAATACTGTTAATTTCTGTTGTTTGTAAGATCAAAGATTATTTAAACAACTTAAATAAATCATAACTGTCCTATTTCATAACAAAAAATAATGTGTCAAGCGTGTTATTAGCTAGTCGTGAAAGGCGACTAATGTAACATTGGGAAATTGAGCGTTAGGCTAGCCACCTATTCACTTCTATTAAATTAAATTAATTTAATTTTCTCTTTCCCTGCCTTTTTGACTCTGACTAACCCCTCGGGGATTACAAGTTACGTTAAATATTATTATTTTTAGAATTCATGTATAAAGTAAGTTAGTAAAGTTACAGCCTATATACGTCCCACTGCTGGGCTCAGATCTCCCCTCATTTCTGAGGGTTTAGGGCAAGGAAGTGTCCGCCGCGCTGCCCAAATGCGTGTTGACGAACTTCACATGTCTTCGAAATATTTTTTTTTCTTATTCCTCAGACATGCAGGTTTCCTCACGATGTTTTCCTTCACCGCCGAGCACGTGGTAAATCAGCACTTAAAATTGCAGTTAACAATTTCATTGGTGCCGGCGGGGATCGAACCCGGGTTACTCGCGTTCTGTTACATTTACAGCGAGCGTTAACCACTGAGCTACCACGGCTTTTCATGTATATTTAAAACAAAAAAGACAGCAGAATCCAGAGATCCCACTAGTTGAGAAACTTTAATAAGAATGAGTAAATTGCTTATGACGGGGCTGCCCCAAGTGCGCGCCGCGTATAACTAAACTTAGGAACTCGCGGGTACAAAATAAATCGCGCGCTCTGTCTTAGTGTCTCAATCTGGGGCTAGAAATGGGAGTGGCGATGTCAAGCCTCATCCCACGCTTTGGAAAAATGTGTGGAGATAACCAAGCTCACTCGTCACATCGATTAAGTTGCCATTGTATTTTATTTTATATTTTTCTTAAATAATAAATGTATTCTTGTGTGTGAATTCAAATATAAAAACTCAGCTTCATATTTTGAAGGATATCATTGTTAACCATTTCGACTAGCTAGAGCGCAGAGACAACATACTAAACTTTATAAGTGCACCGCGAACTGAAAAAGTTTGCGAACCCCTGACCTTTTTTATATAGTATACGATGACAAACGAGCACACAGTCCACCTGAAACTATATCTATACTTATGATATTTATATGTACAATAAATATATTATAATCACTACATATTTACTGTATAAAAACTAACTTATTATTTGCTTCCCTCATTATTTACAGACTTTGAAACATCTTTAAACAAGGCATCTAATGAACTCATTTGTACTTTGGATAGTTTAGCTCCTTTCATGTCCAATACTTTGTGAAACTCCGCCAAAGTGCTCTCAGGCAACAGCTGTACGAACTGAGCAACAAAACCTTCGAGATTCCCGTCCAAAGGAGCCATGACTAATTTCAAAATCATTTCAGCCTTCGTCATCAGCTTTATGACAACCTTTGTGTAAGTAGCAGGCGCTTGACGTTTCACCTCCGACCCAATGGACGGCAACTCTAATAAGGCCGTTTTGAGCATATGCGTATCTAGTAACAATTGCTCAGATCCTACGGTCGATATTGGCTTGCATTTGTAAACGTTTTGTATGAATTTCGGAATGAAGGAATTCGCAAATCTTATACAGAATTGCGTGAAGTACTTTCTCGAGGATGCTAAATTATCTCTCAAGTTGGGAATAGTATTCTTTAAGTGCATTATTATCTGTGTCACGTATGAGCTTTGGTCTCC